TCACAGAGGTGAGTGTCTTCACTGTATCTTATCAAGGGGTACATGATACCAATGTGACTTTTCTGGTGATGCTGACCTTGATTACTTGGTGCAGGTGAAGTCTGACAGATTTTGCCACCATAAAGTTGGCATTTTTCTCTTTCCATACTCTTATTTTTAGAAGTAGTCACCGCAACTAGCCCATATGCCAAGGGAGGGAAATTAAGCTGTATCTCCTGGAGAAAGGATTATCAAAGAATTTGTGAACACAATATTAAAACCACCTTAGAAATTAACAAGCATTTGACTGGGTGTGGTGGCTCATGCCTGTAATCCCAATGCTTTGGGAGGCTGAGGCAGGTGGATCACTTGAGGTCAGGAGTTCAAGACCAGCCTGGCCAACATGGTAAACCTTGTCTCTATTAAAAATACAAAAATTAGCCAGAGGTGGTGGTGCACGCCTGTGGTACCAGCTACTTGGGAGGCTGAGACAGGAGAACTGGTTGAACCCAGGAGACAGATGTTGCAGTGAGCTGAGATCACCCCACTGCTCTACATCCTGGGTGACAGAGAAAGTCTCTGTTTCAAAAAAGAAAGAAAGAATGAAAGAAGAAAAGAAAGGAAAGAAAGAAAGAGAAAAAGAAATTAACAGATATTTCAGGAAGACAATTTTAAGATACATAAATAATCTTTTTTTTTTTTTTTTTTTGAGACAGGATAGGGTCATGCTGTTTTACCAAGGCTGGAGTATTGGGGCACAATCCTGGCTCACTGCAGCCTCTACCTCCCCGGCTCAAGCAATCTTCCCACCTCAGCCTCCCAGGTAGTTAGGACTACAGACAAGCACCACCACCACACCTGGCTAATTTTTTTTTAAATTGTAGAAATGGGGTCTCCCTGTGTTGCCCAGGGTGATCTTAAACTCCAGGGCTCAAGTGATCCTCTCACCTCAGCCTCCAAAATTATTAGGTTACAGGTATGAGCCACAGCACCCAACTAAATATCTCTTCTTAATGTTTAGTCCTTTAATTTTACCATTCATTGATGGATCTTGCCTCTAGCTACTTAATTACCATAGTATTCTTAAGTTGATTTTTATTCCTTAAATTTTCTCCATTTATTTGGAATTGTTCTGTAATGAAGATATGCCTGTTCTCTCCTGTTATTTATTTATTTATTTATTTATTTATTTATTTATGTTTTGAGACAGAGTCTCGCTCTTGTTTCCCAGGCTGGAGTGCAATAGTGTGATCTTGGCTCACTGCAACCTCCTCCTCCCGGGTTCAAGCGATTCTCCTTCCTCAGCCTCCTGAGTAGCTGGGATTACAGGCATGCGCCACCATGCCTGGCTAATTTTGTATTTTTAGTAGAGATTGGATTTCACCATGTTGGCCAGGATGGTGTTGACCTCTTGATCTCATAATCTGCCCACCTCGGCCTCCCAAAGTGCAGGGATTGCAGGCATGAGCCACCATGCCCGGCCCTCTCCTGTTATTTCTATATTTAGTCTTTTATTTGTATCATTATGGACTCATGGCTACTTATGTTATTCATTATAATTTAATATTATTTTATTACTCAAATTTTTCCACATTTAGCCATTGAGAACGATCCTTAATTTCTACACTAGAAGATGTTCCAAGTTCATCTTGCATTTTCCCTGTCCTAGCCCTGGAACGGGCCTTCCCTGGCTTCTTCTGTTAAAGAATGGTATTTAGAATCTGAGGTGTAGACTCTAGCTATGCTTCTGGACCCCTGAGGGACAGAGGTAGGAAACAGTTGTGTATTTACTGACCCATGTACACATATCTATTTCTGTAACCATCTATCTACACACATACCTATTTCTGTAAACATCTACCTTTCTATATTAAACATGAATTCGCGCTCTCTTCAGCTTTAACAGCACAGGATTCATTCTAGCCTCGTCCTGCACGTTCAATCTGTAGCTTATATTTCTGATAGTACCTTTCATCCCTTTTTCCCTACATTGGCCATTCACTCTTTTAGAGGTTTTCTTTGTAACAGCTTCATAAAAACGTGCACATACCATGCAATTTGCCCATTTAAAATGTGCAATTCAGTCGTTTTTAGTGTAGTCACAGAGTTGTGTAACTGTTACAAACTCAGTTTTAGAAATTTTCATCACTCCAAAAGAAACTGTGTTCTTTATCCATCACCTTCCATTTCCCTCAGACACTGCAGCCTTTGGCAACCACTGTTTCTATCCATAGGTCTGCTTATTCTGGACAGTTCATAGAAATGGAATTGTTCAGCATTTTCGACCATTCACTTTGGGTATCTTCTGTGCAAGTGCTGCTGTAAGCGGAAATGTTCCTCTTACAGTCCTTCCTGTTGACTTTCCCTGAATCGGGGAAGATGATCAGGTTCCAGATGTTACCACCAGCTTGGTTTCAGGTATTCATCAGGTGTGAACCTGTAAGTTGTTTCGGGCTCATTTATGTAGAATCATGAACTCATAATGAAGCAGCTTCACACTAACATTTAAGACCCTATTAGTGACAGATCTGACAACAACAGCAATTTATAGTAATTGCAAAAGTGACATAAGTAATATTTGTAAGTGCCTACTCAAACAGCTTCCTTTTCGTCCAAGCCAAGTCTTGAAACAACATTATATTAGTTTGGCCTTGGATGATCAATTGTCTTTTTCTTGATTTTCGTGAGGATCCTCTCCAACTGATTCTAAAGCACCTCTCCAAATAGAGGAAGAGATATCAGACTGTGCAAAGCCTGATTTGCTCTGTCAGTAAATGTCAATCAATCCTATCTGGCCCCATTGTTATAAGCAAGTGAAGGCTTTTGCTGTCCATTTGCTAAGACTGCTGTTGACAGGGTCAGCCAAGAAAAACCTGCACACGAAGTAATGGAGCCCAGTGTCTCTGATTGTTTCAGGCGAGCTGTGTGTGTCAGTCGGTACATAGTTGAGAGAAGGTGTTGCTTGAGATACTGCTAGTGAGTACTGATGTTCACAGACAAAATGTCGACATAAAAACTGTTCTAGAGGTCAGACTCCTACAAGGCTCACATATGATAATGTCACCTTGATGCGAGACTTGAACCCAGGAGGGGTACAAACAGAGTAACCTTGGTGAAATTTTAAGTTTATTTTCCAGCTGTGTTGGAATTGCTATAGCAAAATATGTCTATAGTTACCACAGAAATGTCCAGCAAAAACAAAAAACAAAAAAACAAAACCTTTTTCCCTCTTCAATTACTTATTTTTATTAGCCATTTCTTTAAGTCAAATGTCATTAGCAAGATGTTTATTTATATGCCTTTATAGAAGCATTATCTTTTTTAGCTAAGCTGTTGTCATATTTTCAAAGATTGTGGTAATACCAGTGCATACCTTAAAGAAATTAGATCATATGTACACAATGGAATATTATACCACCTTAAAAAAGGAGGAATCCTCTCCTTTTGATAACATGGATGAACTTGGAGCACATTATGTGAAATGAAATAAGCCAGACAGACAAATACTGCTTGATCTCACACGTGGAATCTTAAAAAGTTGAGCACCTATAAATTCAGAGTAGAACTGTGGTTACCGGGGACTGGGGGTGTGGTTATAGAGAGATATTGATAAAAGGATACACAATTGCAGTTAGATAAGAGGAAAAAGTTTAAGAGACGTGATGTACAATAAGTAGAATACAGTTAGGCAGTGCTTGACGGTGGGGATACATTCTGGGATATGTGTCATAATGTGATTTTGTCATTGTGGGAACATCACAGAGTGTACTTATGTAAACCTAGAGAGCATATAGTTAAAAAAGAAAAAAAGGCTGAGCACTGTGGCTCACACCTGTAATCCCAGCACTTTGGGATGCTCAGGTGGGTGGATCACAAGGTCAGGAGTTCAAGACCAACCGGGCCAAGATGGTGAAACCCTGTCTGTACTAAAAACTACAAAAATTAGTTATCCCAGCTACTCGGGAGTCTGAGGCAGGAGAATCGCTTGAACCCAGGCAGCAGAGGTTGCAGTGAGCCAAATTCGTACCCCACTACACTCCAGCCTGGGTGACAGAGTGAAACTCCGTCTCAAAAAAAAAGGGGGGGGATGATAATCTTCTGGGACAACTGTCATCTATGTGGTCCCTTCAGCGAACGCCTGGCCCCCGACTCCCAGGGCACTTCCCAGACAGCCAGTGCCACATCCCAGGCAGCCCCTGCTCTGCCCTTGAGGTCTGTGCCTGGCAGAAGGGCGGCTGACCCTCGGCCCCTCTCGGCCCAGGTCCCAGCTCTCCCTGGCCTTGGGACCAGCAGACACACTCACCCTGCGCCTGGCATGCTGGCCATGCTTGTGCCCGTTGGTGACGGTGGGTTGGGAGGGAACTGTTTCAGATACCGATGTAAATCTGTGTCTGCATCAATTCCACACAGGAGTTCAGTCATCATATGGGAAGGGAATCATAGCTGTAGGGAGCTCCATGCGGACCCCCTGGGCCCCTGAGGCCAGTCCCTGTGGCCACAGCAAGGAGCATCTGCTTCCGCCAGTCGGACAAGACTCTTTCCTGCCCAGAAACTGGCAGACGGACTTCCCCTGCTCCCCACGCACCGTCGTATCCCAAGCACACCCGTGTGGATGGACCCCTCGACATCTCCCCTCAGCCCGGGGCCCGAGCTCCTCCTGACGAGGGTTAAGCAGGAGCGGCCGCCTCTCCCTGTGTCCCTGCTGCAGGCAGCTGCCTTCTCCTCAGCTCCCACGGGCAGAACAAGAGCCAGCCAGCTCTCTCCATGCCGGGATTTTCCAGGGATGCTGATAACTAAAGCAGGCGGGGCCTTGTGCGTGGGTGGCGGGAGGGATCAGAGCTTCCTCAGCATCCGTCAGTCCCTGGAGCACCTGAAGGGGCAGCCTACACCTGGAGGAACGAGTGGGGCCGGCTCCCGTGGGTCCCCAGTGCCTGGCATCCCCCGGTCCCTCTGCTCTCCCTCACAGACCCCCTCCACTGAGCAGCACAGCCCTGAGGACAGAGGCAGCAGCCCCGAGAGCATTTCCAATACAACTATATTTATTATATTTACACAGGAGACCCCCAGGGTGTTGCTCCCCACCTGCTACCCCCTCCCCCAAGGCCCTCCCTTTCCGTTCAGCCACCCTCTTCCTCCCACACTCCCACCCTCCAAAGCTAATGCCCATCAAGATCAGCACTGGGGGAGAAGTCTTTGCTTTGGGTCAGCCGGTGCCCTGAGGGTCCGAGAGTTGAGAGCCCCACCCTTGAGGATTGGCACCAGAGGGCCTGCCCTGTCCCCCTACTGGCTGCGGTGCTGCTTTTTCTTCCTCTTAGAGAGCAAGGGGTCACCCTTTCTCTTTAGGGACTGTGAGGGGCCACCCAGCCCCCGAGCCGGGGATTGTGCCCCAGAGACTCTGAGCCCAGGCCCTAGGTGGGGTGAATGTTCAGCAGGGGATGGGCCTCCGAAGAGAGCTCGCTTCTTGGACTTGGTGGCATGAGTGGCTGCTGGGCTGAGGTCTCTTCTCTTTGCAGATTGGGACTGAAGAGCTCCCTGGGGTCCCCGCCCTTCTGGGCTGAGAAGGCCCGAGGCAGGGACAGGGCTCTGGGACAGCTTCCAGGGCCGCAGCCTGTAGTTGGTACCCATGACAGAAACCACACCAGGGATTTCCCTCTCCTCCTCACTTGACCCCTTCGACGGCCTGGGTGACCCATTGACAGGAGAGGCTCCAGGGAGACTCCAGGTGTCCTTGGTCCCCACACCTGGGCAGGTGGGTCTATGGTCCTGGGGAGGAGAGTATGGCCGGGCAGCCCTCAGCCTGCGGGAATCCAATCTCTCCAAAAGCACCACAGGGTTTTTGGACCTGGCCATCCCAGTGTGCTCTCTGCCTCGTCCCTGAGTGTCCCGGGAGGCCATCTCGGGGGTGGGTCTGTGGTCCTGCGGAGGAGAGTTTGGCTGGGCAGCCCTCAGCCTGCGGGAATCCAGCCTCTCCAAAAGCACCACAGGGTTTTTGGACCTGGCCATCCCAGTGCATGCTCTGCCTTGTCCCTGAGGGTCCTGGGAAGCCCTCTGGGGGATGGGTCTGTGGTCTTGGGGAGGAGAGTTTGGCCGGGCAGCCCTCAGCTTATAGGAATCCAGACTCTCCAAAAGCCTAACAAGGGTTTTGGACCTGGCCATGCCAGTGCGTGCTCTGCCTCGTCCCTGAGGGTCCCGGGCAGCCATCTGGGGTGGGCAGGTTTCCACGCTGACCCCTTGCTGGGGCCCAGGGACATCTCTCTCTGCTCCTTGGCCCACTGCAGACTCAGAAGAGATTGAGCCCAACCGGGCAGTGCCATGACCAGGGGCTGCCCTGGCACACCGTTCCTCCTTCAAGGACAGGCGGCGCTTCTCCGATACCTGCAGGAGGAAAGGGGGCACTTACTGGCACTGCCCCAGGTGTGAGCAGGGCCCAGGGTGGTGGAGACCAGGGTACTTGGGCGGCAGGCAGGGAAGCCTGAGGCAGCTGGCGTGTCAAAGACAGAGGGTGTGGCTCTGCGGGCATCCCGCTGGGCTCACTGCAGTTTGCATCCTGACTCCCCTCCTGGCTCCTCTCCATCCTGCTCCATCTGAACCTGCACCTCCCCACCTCGGAGCGGCTCCCCAAGAAGCTGAGCATCCCCGCAGGGTCGGGTAGACAATCAGGTGGGGCCTGTGTGCCGGGTCCCTCCTGCCCCCGGGGTACCTGGGTGCCCCTCCCTCCCTGCTCTACCTGGGCAAGGGTGAGCCCTTCCTCCTGCTCCAGCTCCTGGCTTAGGGCCAGGAAATCCAGCTGTGGATCTGGGGAAAGCAATTCTTCCAGGAATCGGGGGTGGATGACGGCCTCCACCTGGAAACAGAAGGAAGACGGCGTGAGCTTCCCGGGCAGGAGTAACCTGGAGCCAAGGACACCTGGAGGAGTCGCAGAAAGCAGCGAGCGCCCCGTCCCCGCCCTTCTGGAGCTGTCTCATACCATGGCGACCAGCAGCTCCACACACAGACCACAGACCTGGTAGCATCCACACATGCAGACAGAGACACACAAACCACACACAGACACACAGACAGACCCACATACGACACAGGAAAATACACAGACACAAGTAACATACCCACGCCACACTCACACCCACACAGACACATAGTAACAAATCACAGACACAAACACACAGACACACAATCACATACACAGACACTCAAATCCACGGAAACGCACTCACCCCCTGCAGAGTAGCTAAGGAACAGAGCTTAATTCCAAGGACCTGTGAGTGCCACGCCCCAGAATCCTGCAGACCCCAGCACTTCAGGCCAGCCCACCTTGGTGACGAAGTCTTTCTGGGAACACAGAGTGTCAGCGTAGCTCAGGAGGTCGGGGTCTGAAAGCATCTCGTCCCCGTCCTGCTCCACTTCGCCCTCTTCCCTTTGTCCCGGGAGCTGCCCCGTGGCCCCAGCGGGAGGCCCCAGCAGCTCCTCCATGATGTCTACATACTCCTGCACCACTTCAGGGGGCATCTCCTCCGGGGCCTTGGTCTCCGCTGGCCGCTGGGGACTGGGTGGCGGCAGGCAGGCAGGCGGGGCCTTGGGGCCGTCCTGGCTGGGAAGGTACACTGAGGCAGGGAGGGAGGAGGACGGGCGTGGTGAGGGCTGCTCCTCCTGCCTGCACCACACAGGGGAGGGCAGGGCTCGGGGACGTGAAGTGGGTCCCAGCGGGGTCAGGACCACCTGAACCACAGCGCCCCCGAGGAGACGCCGCAGGAGGGGCACATGGGAGACAGAGTCGTTTGGGAGGAAGTTTGGAGCCACTGATATGCCGGGTACTGTACCCGCTCATCCGTGCTTCTGGGCAGATTGTATGTTGAGGTTTGGAATGGGGAGGGGAGAGAGTAGCTAGGAAACGTGACCAGGTGAATACGGACTTCATGACCACGGAACGCCCAGCCCCCGGCTCCCCTGAGCTGTCTTGTTGGAAGGAACAAATCCCTCTCTTGAAGGGAGGCATGGGGTGTGGGGACAGTGGCCTCCCTTGGCCCCTCTGGCCTTTGCCGTGGCTCCTGTGGGAACGTGGGAAGCCGTACCTGGCTGCTTGACCACCTCAGGGGCCGATGGTCCTTGAGGTTCAAGCCTCGGCGGGGCTGGAGGAGGCAGGCACTGGGGCCCCTTCATCCACTGCGACTTCTGAATCTGCATCTCCTCCTCAGCCTCAAACTCCAGGAACCTGGGGCGCAGAAGGTGCAGGCGGTGCTGAGAGGGTCCAGGCCCCCTGCCCCCAGGACCAGGCAGCCGACGGCAGGGATGGGAATGAGTGCCTGGGGTGGGCTGTCCAGGCCCTTCCTGGGGCCGGTCCCCGGTCCCAGGAGGGAGCTGCTCCCAGAGTTCTGGGCTTACCCTCCCTCACCGGGCCCCTGCAGAGTCCATGGCATCAACAGGGCTTCCTGACTCAAGTCAGGGCCAGGAGGCCCTGGAGGCACCAGGGTGACCCCTCCTCCAGGCTTCAGCTCGCCAGGGGTGGGGTTTATGGCAGAAGGTGTCAGGAATGTTGCCCAGATGCAGGAGTCCTGAGGTTGGGACTGTGGGTCCCTGAAGGATAACCCAGGAAGATGAGGCCTGGGAGACCCCTGGTTGGGAGGAAGCCAAAGCAGAGTCCATAAGACAGGGCCCCTTTCCCCTGAGGCTGCTGTCTGTCTGTCTTAATGGAGGGGACTGCCCAGGAGCAAGGGCAGGCAGGCCAGAGATGGGTCTCATGGTGTCCTGGACTCAGGTCTCCCCTGACCCAACACAGGTTTCTCCAATCCTGTCCAGGCTGGGATGGGTGAAAACCAACTTCTGGCCACTGCTGTGAGGAGAGTGCACCCCACTCTGTCTATAGTCGCCAGCGCCCCTTCCCCCCATACACACAGCTGGTGGTGACCACCTTTGGGCTGTGATGCTGGCTGCTCCCTCCATGACCCCCAGTGTCAGGCAGGGGTTGTCCCCAGGCCAGGCAGGGCGTGGCTACCCACCAGGGCAAGATAGAGACCCCCGAGCACTCTAGGAGGGAGGAGCAGCTTCCTGAGGGGGCCGGGGGCCCAGGAGAGCCTGTTTGGCCACACCCTCCTCATGCTCCACGCTGAGAAGCCACCATGGCCACCTGGCCTCTGTCACCCTGTCTCGCCCTGCCATGCGGGCTCTGCCCCGGCACCCCAGACTCACTTTCCCGCCATCTCGTAGTAGATCATCCGGTCAAAGTTGCTCTTGAGCTGCCATTCCCGCACGGCCCGCCACAGTCCCTCCTCCAGGGTCATGCTGGGCTTCCGCCGGGCCAGGGATCTGAGAACTGGGCTGTAAGGCGGTGCAGTCAGCCCCCGTCCACAAGCCCACCGTCCCTCCCAAGCCCACCTGGTCCCAACACCGGACCCCTGTCCTCCCCACACCTGTCCTGCCATCTGTCCCGGTCCTGTTCTCCCCAGCGTGGGCTCCTCAACCTCCAGGACACGCCCCCGAGATCAAACATCAACACAAGCCACCGGGTGGCCTCTCCGACTGCCCCTCGAGTCCTCAGTGTTGACAAGTGAACTCAGTACTGTGGGTTGAACGTGTGTGTCCCCAGCATTCCTGTGCTGAAGTCCTCAGCCCCGGTGTGCCCGTCCTTGGAGTCAATCGGGGTTAGAGCAGGTCATGTGGGTGGGTTCCCGTCCTGGCATCTGAGCCCTGATAAGGGCAGGAGGAGACACCAGGGCTCTCCCTCTCAGCCTGGGACTTCCGGCCTTGAAACTGGGAGACGTGACTGTGTCCCGATAAAGCACCCAGTCTATAGCATTTGTCATGGCGGAGCCCGAGGTGACCGAGACAGCGCACACAGAATGACCGGGGAGCGAGGGTTAACGTGCAGGTTCCAGGGCCCCAGGACTGAGCATTTAACCTGCTTCCTGGGGACTCTGGAGCAAGGCAGCCCCTGGGGACGCAGCCTCTGGGTCCTGGAGAGGAGCAGAAACCAGAACCAAAGCAGAGCGGGATCCACGCCCACTGCACGTGGAGCCTGTGAGCCTGGGGCGGCTCCACTCCGAGAATCAGGGTCCCCAGTGCACCAGGACTCAGCTCCAAGGGAGAAGGCAACCAGTCCCAGGATGCAGGGGTGGCAAGATTTTTGGGAGCAAAGATGGGGCCTCCTTACACCTACACCCTGGGCAGGGGACTTGCCTAGGGAGTGGCCAGTGTGTTCCCTCGTGGATGTGCCCAAGCTCCCATGGAATATGGGTTTGCTCATCAGCGGGAGACACAGGGTCACAGAGGCACCGCAGGATGGAGAGAGGCGGGACTGGGACTGAAACGACAAACTCTCCCAGATGCTGGCATTGCTGCCTCAGGCACCACAGTCCACGGCCCTGGGCTGCTGGGCTCGCGGTGCACTCAGAGCCATCAATGGAGCCCGTGGCTTTGGGGAGCGCTGTCCTAGATGGCCTAGTCCTGATAATGACAGCAATAGGGACAGTAATCATAACTGCTGTCATGTAATGTATCACAGCATGTGCCAGGCACTGTGCTACATGCCTCATATGTGAGCTCAAGTCACCTCTTCACCATCCTCTGAAGGAAGCATCGTCGTCTCCTTTTCTAGGAGGGATCAAGGGCGAAGCTGCAAATACCTGCCCAGCGTGGACCCTAGTGCGGGGCCCAAGACCATCCCCTGTGCAGGCTCCACCACCGCTGTGCCAGCGGGACCCTGGCAGAACAGTGGGCGTGTGCCAGGTTCCTGCAGCTCCCACCCCAGCCCCATGTGCTGTGCCCCTGGCCTTCGCCACCCAGGTCAAGGGGAGGCACTGGGGTGAACTCAAAGTCCTAAACGCAACCCGTGGCTCATGTCGGACCGGGAACCCTCTCTGACCTGGGTCTACTGTAAACATTGTCATGAAAATGGCTGAAAGTAAGGATGGGCTGGACTCACGGCACAGTGAGGGGCAGGTGAGATGTGGCCCCTGAGAGTCTGTCCTGAGCCTCAGCCAGATTAATTGTTGCTGAAAATGTGCCCTTCCATAGCTCAACCCATCGCCTTCAACAGCGCCCTGCAAGCTCCCCTGAGCAGCGTGACCTCCCGTCCATCCAGCAGCCCCTTTACGGGTGAGCTGCAGGACGAGCTCCGGTGCCCCGAGGACACTCACATGAAGAAGCAGGAAAGCGCTTCCGTGTCCGGACTCTGGGGAAGGTGCCTCCGGGCCAGGGGCTTGTAGCGCTGCCAGAGTCGGAAGTTCTCATACACGCTCTTGGGGTTGCAGGAGTCGTCCGGGGGGGCCTTGGCCTGGGAGGGAGCCAGGCTGCCCTCTCCATGAGCCCCTTGTGGCCATGGCCCAGCATTCCCTGGAGCCGTCATCGGGGCCGGCTGGGGAGCCGGTGGTGGTGCTGGAGGAGGAAGGCCCTGGGACCAGCCTCCCTCGCAGGCCTGGGTGCCCAAAAAGACCTGGGCAGCCATAGCGGGCACCACAGGGGCCGCTGCCAGGAGTCGGGGAGGTGGACATGCGATGCCCTCACAGACGGCACCTGGAGTCTGCCAGACGAGGGGGGCCTGAGTTAGGACCAAGGTCTGTGCCTCAGGGGCCTTCACAGGCCCCACTTCTGTCCTCATCTGGACAAGGACGTTGGAAGCCCCGGGCCAATTCAGGCCTTGGCCATCCTGTCCTGCCACCAGAGGGGTCCTGGGGAAGGCAGACAGCACCGGAGGGCCGCCTGGAGAAACTGCTGCAGTCATGAGGGGCGGCCCATGTGCTGGGCCGGGAGCAGGTGTGGCGAAGGACAGAGCCATGAACACTGGCATGGAGGCACCAGGGTTCTCTGTCATGCCCGGTCCCAGCACTGGGTATGCTGTGGAGACAAAGGAAAGAGGTGAATGAGCTGGGGTCTCCAGGTCTGCAGTAGTCACTGGGAATCAGAGGGGTGTCCCAACAGCTCAGGGCATGTGACAGGGAAACTCTGCAGCTTGTAAGTGTCCCTGTGTGTGCATCGGATGCTCTGTTCCTCCACGGGAGGGTCGCCTCACTAGAGAGCCTGGCCGCGGCTCCACTAGACTCCCTGACCCCTGTCTGCCAGAAGCAACAGCCAAGCCTTCACTGCGTCTGAGGGTCTCCCTCGGGCATCCCTGGCAGACCCTGCCAGCCTTACAGGCATTTCCCAAGCCATGGGTCAGGGATGAATCTCTCGCCGGCTTGGTGGCCCTCGGCACGCTCAGCAGCAGGTGAGGGGCCTCCACCAGGACAGTGCTCTGCACTCAGAAGGCCTACGGGAAGCCAGAAGGTTCCTAATATTGTGCCCCCATCTCCTCTTCAGTCTTCTTTTCCTGAAGCTCTTGTAAAGCCCTTTCTTTCCTAACTCAGCACAACAAAAGAAAACCACTGAATAGACCAGGTGTGGTGGTTCATGCCTGTAGTCCCAGCACTTTGGGAGGCTGAGGCGGGCGGATCACCTGACGTCAGGAGTTCAAGACCAGCTTGGTCAACGTGGTGAAACCATGTCTCTACTAAAATACAAAACGCAGCTGAGTGTGATGGTGCACGCGGGTAATCCCAGCTCCTCAGGAGGCTGAGGCAGGAGTATTGCTTGAGCCCAGGAAGCAGAGACAGCACTGAGCCAAGATTGCACCACTGCATTGTAACCTGGGTGACAGAGGAAGAATCTGTCTCAAAAAAGAAACAATGAAAGAAAACCACTGGATGGGAATCTCTCCCAAGCCAGCACCCTGTGAGCCCTGAAGAGAACCCACACACGTCATGCCCAGCCTGCAAGTGATTGTCCCGGCACCAGGCACAGCAAGTGCTACACAGGGATCAGATTTGGGCCACCCTTTCCTCGGTGCTCGGTGGTCCTGGCTGCCACTCAGGAAGCTCTGTTCCCAGGGAGCAGGTCTGAGAAGCGGTGGTGGCGTTCCCTGAGGTACTGTCATTGCGCAGCCAGCAACAGCGGCACACGATTAGAGCACAGCCAGCAAGCGGTGAGCCGTGGGGCTGTCAGGGGAGGTGTCCGGGGATTTTCACAGCTGCTGGTCATGTTACAGTAGTTCCTGGGACAAGGAGCCCACCTCTGGTCCTTTTCCTTTGAGCTCCCAGTAACCGAATATAATGACCAACCAAGAACCTCTGGTTCTTGGGCCATCGGTCAGGTAGGCAAAGTTGTCTGGAGCTCGTCCCTGTTCCCTAGGACCTCATGCAGTCTCCAGTCAAGGGGAATAGGGATACAGCACGTGCAGCTCATCAGTCAGGACACACAGCCTAACTTGAATATAATAATAATAATAATAATAATAATAATAATAATAAGAGGACCGTCTGCCTATTTATGTGTTATTCTCCTTCCTCTACTGAATCGGAAACCAGGCTTTCCAGACCCTTCCACTGAGAACCAGCAAGAGTCCACACCTGTCCCCTGTTTACGAGGTAGTAGACATGGAACAGAAGCAAATCCTTCATCTCCACAGTAACACAAAGTGCAGAGGACAGGCCATGAGCTAGCAGACAGGAGGAAGTGGGTCTGAAGACCTGAGCTTCCACCAAAGGACGAACAATTCAGAATAACCTGGGAAGCCCAGACCGTGTTGCCTGAACTTCCCCAACTGCCCCCACCACTGTTAAATCAGAGCCAACAGCCACCTGAACTGACGGAGAAGCCACCTCTGGGGAGGGAGCTGAGAGGCTGCAGCAGTTACAGTAGCCCCAGCCTCGCCCACCCAGAGGCTGTCACTGCATGCTCTGTCACAGACAACCCACCCAACAGTTTTCTGGCTGAGACCACTTTTCCCCACTCCTCCCTAAGATCTAGAAAAGTCCAGTCCAAATCCCTCTGAACACTATGGAAGGACACCTTCCAGGAGTCTGAAGACACAACACAGGGCTCAGGCTTGCCTGTCATCTTCCCTGGGCCACCAGCACAACACCATCCCACTACGCCCTACAAACACATGGTGACGTGACCTGTCCCCCTCTAGAAAGAATCAATACATCCACTCCGTCCTTTCCCCTACACGGTGTATTCCCCCAGGCATCTTGGTCTGCCTCTAAGGAGCCATCCTCTCTAACCACAGACTCAGGGTGCCATGGCCATCTCCAGGTATGATGTCTTTGGGGACATCCAGGGCTCCCTCCCTCCCTCAACATCAGCCCTATCGACTGTCCCCAGGGCAGTGTCAAATTTGAATTCCCAAGGACTTGAAACATGGCAGAGACTTGGATAATGCCCCTGTCCCTACAGACTCACCTCCATTTGAAGCCATCCCCTCAGGCTGGGTGCTGATCACCGCTGTCTGACAGTTTCCACAATGAGAAAAGTCAAGGGCAGGACCCAGAGAGTGAACTGCCTCAACAGATTCTCCTGAGTTCAGGTGGATCAGAGAAAATTTGAAAATAAATAGGTTTAGAACATAGGACCCCAGACATTCTGAGGAGGGGGAGGGGCAGTGCAGCAGGTACTGGTAGGGGTGGGGGACATTCTGTGAAGAGCTCCGGCCAATAGGCAAGAACTGAGGTTCCCTTCCAGCTGGACGGCAGCAGCGCGGACTGTGTGCGCCTCTTTAGGCAACTTTTCAATTGTCCTTCTGACTCACAGCACAAAGCTTCAACCTGATGTCCCCTTTACTTCCATTCTTTGTCAACAGACCTACTTTTGTGCCCCTCAACCCATGCTCCTTCCCACTTGGGCTCTTTCCCGCTCTTGATGAATTTCAACAGGGGCTGCACTTCCTAAACACAATTTAGGACACTTCCTAAGAACCCCTGTGTTTGTCAGACGATCCACGTCTGGATCCTGTGCCTGGTTCAGAGGATCCAGGCTATGAGGTGGCTGTGTGCTCATCATCGTTGTGGAAGCCGTCCTTGAGCCCCCGGGTCCTGTATGGTGCTGGAATCTGTCCACACCAGCAGGCCAGCCTTACTTCCCATCTCCTTTGCTGGAAAACCTCAGTCCGGGAAAGAGTGGCTATGTGGCCAGAGAGCCTTTCATTTTGTTTCCCAGCATATTGTGCTGGTATTAAATGTTTATTTTTTATCTTTTAACTGGTTTTCATTTAACCAGGCAATACTTTTGCATGGTTCCGAATTCAAATTGTGCACAGTGGACTAGGCGGTGACCGGTCTTCCTCCCACCTCTTTCCCTGTCCACAGCATTTTCTTTCCTGGAGCAAACGGGCGTTGGGAAAGATGCGAATGCTGCTCTGAGAGATGAGAATCTTGGCCAGTGATTTTAGAAGAAAATGCAAACAAACAAACACAAGGTTTTCAATTGAAGGTACATCCCTTCTTCCAGATGAAGACATTGATTGAATGGGCTGGATCCCCACGCAGTGGTCAGCGGCGGCCTTTGGCAACTGACAGAACAACATCTGGGGACTCAGGAGCTGGGTTCTGTTTGAAGAAACTTCCCTACAGGAGTCATGAGCAGAGGAAAACGAGTGTGGGAGAAAGGAGGGGACTCTCAGGGAGGAGTACAAACGGAGAGAAAAAAGCATGTCATTGCTGAGGAAGAAAATGGAACACTGCTTCTGTTTCTTCCCTCTTCCTCCTTCCCTTTCTCCTGCGGATGGACAGCGCCAGCCCACTGACGGTGGGAGCCCAGTTTACTCTCGTTCTCCCGATGCATAGAGTTTTGTCTTCACTTCTGTTGAACATCACCTTTTCATATTTTTATTATTATATATTTGGTTTCCCACAGCATCTCAAACATGCTTCTGTCACTGAGAAATGAAGGCTGCCTATTCGCAAAAAAACATGGGAGGAGGTTGGGGAAAGGAAGACGCTTTCGGACGGATGAGTGCACACTGGGATCATTTCCTGAAACGCTCCCTGTTGGCACTTACGAAGCATCTGCCCCTTCGGAAGACAACTGGACTCAGGCGGGCAGAGTTGCAGGAAAACATAACCAGGGCCACACGGCAGGGAGGGCGGCGGATCGCAGGTCTCGAGCCCAGGGTTCCCCGCTCCTTGCTCAGGTGTGTGAGAAACTCATTTCCTAACTCCTGTCCAATATTCCTCATGGGTTCCCGGTTTGGTCCCAACCCTAAACCTGAATGGTCCTTGAGCATTTCTATGAAATGCCTCCGCAGTGGCCACTGGGAGGGGAGTGACCTCCACGCAGTGCCTGCCTGTCTGGGTGCCCCAGGCCTTTTGTCCTCTGAGACAGAGCCGCCTTCTTCCATGCAGCCCTCTTCCGCCATGCAGCCCACCTCGATCTTAGCTGAGAAGACTGATGGAGAGCAATTCAAGCAAAACCAAAATAAAACAAAAACAACATAAACACTTCGGAGACCTTTCTGAGGACTTGCTCTTTTATCATGGGGTAAACTTGAATGATTTTCAATCAGTTGCTTCATCTCAGAGGGATGTTGATGGAAAATCTCCTCAGGCGCTGAAGAAGGGCAGAATTTTTGGTTGCTTCCTCCCCTTGTCAAGCCAGTCAGCCGACGCTTTCTCAAGATTCTCATGCACAGCTTTGATATCGGATATGAATGAGTCTTTTTTCTGAGCCACTGACAGAAAAAGTGTACTGTGGAACAGCCTCTTGTCTGAATTCTGCAATCCTCTCTGTGTGTGTTTGAAGTCCTAGATCCCAGGAGGACAGACAATCAAATTAGCCAAAGGTAATTTGTGAAGACTGGCCACGGGAGGTGGTGGCTAAAAGTCCTCTGGCCCCTGCTCTCTGAGCATGACCTCAGGAAGTCCTGGGCCGCACTGACTGCTGAGAAAGAACGCCTCAGAGCATGGATCTCATTTCAGAAGACAGATGCTCTTCCACACAATCACGGAAGGTAGGTAGAGGAATGGCGGGTCCATGCCGTGTCCTACAGAGCTCTCAGTTTCTGCCCTTGAGGCTCTGGGCCAACATAGATGTGAAGACGCTTTACTGTTATCAGGAGGAGCCATGAATGGTAGGAACCTGCAAATGAGCAGAAAGGATCTGACGATTAAACTTTCTTCTATTCCAAATTCAAGTCAGTGAGTTACTTCTCTACTAGTCTTTTATTGCCAACTCTAATTCTGCACTAGGTTGCAGAGTGGGGTTCGGGGGAGCGTGGAATTATTCCCTTACTATCTGCTGCTTTGTCTACTGAAATTGATCAAAGCTATAACAAAAACATTTCTAGAAATCATTCGAATGCGGTAGGAAAAACTGTGGGCATGGAGTCAGAAGAAAGTATCTTTAGGAGCGCTTTTTCAGGTCTAAAACTCTTTGCCAGAAATGTTCTTTAATGGATCCTCCAGACTGGGTAGGAAAACAGGGCATAGTATTTTTTTAAAAGGCATGAGCGGGAATGAAACAAATGCAGCCCAAAGGGGGAATGCAAGACTTTCGCAGTCTGAGGAAACTGATTGAGGGTAAACCCTCCAAAGGCAAACCTTTCAGCGAGGCTGCTAGCCACGTGCGTGGACTGCCGGTTTGTATTACCGAAAATCAGGAGCGGCGGTTTGGGACGCGCTGGTTTCTCAGAGGGACGGTCATGGAGGTTCCCATGAGGAGGCGTCGCCTGGCCCCGTCTCTCCATTTGCGCAGCTCCTGCGGGGCCCTCCCAGGGCGGCCTCCGGGTCCCCGCGTGCAGGCGCAGCGGCCTCGAGGCGGGCGGGGCTCCCGCGCCCTCAGTGGCTCCCGGTGTCCGTTGCAGGTGGTTGGGGCGGAGAGACGCGCAGCGCGCGTGGAAATGGCCATTCGCCAACGGCCTTGGCTCTCATGGCGTCCTCCTGGTGTTACCTAAAAATAAAACTACGTGTGATTAGAAGGCAGTCGCCTCCTGGTCATGCTCCCGCTGGTCGTCGGCGTCCGCAGCGGGCCTATGGCTGCGCGTAAGGCGGGAGCGTGCCCAGCGGGGACCCCGCGGGACCCCCAGACCGCGCTTCTTTCCCTGGCCGGCCTGGCCCCGAAATGAGGGAGGAGCTTTAACGGTGCAGTGGGAACCCCGAAGTGTGTCTCCTCCGTGCCTCTCACATTTTGAACAACACAAGAGCTTGAGGAAAACCCCAGCCGTTGAAACCGTGATGCGGTTCAGCAAAGAAGTAGCTCCTGTCCGGGTAAAATCAGTGACGTTCTCACGGACGTCCTCACTGAGTGAGTTGTGAAGCTTGTTGACTTAATCAGAATGATCACCCAGCATGCAGGTTCCAGTACCTCATTTGTCAATGATGTGAGCGGCTGCAAAGTCCAAGAACAGGCCTGTAGTCTAGTCTGTTCACTTGGTAGCACAAGTTGGTTGTGGATGCGAGAGTGTGGCCAAAGTCGAGAAAAGCTTCTATGAGAATCACTTGCTTATGTGGAATTTATAATAAAAAGTAGGGTATATTATTTGTAAGTTGTATGCTACACATGCATTACATCTAAAATTTACTGCACACGTGTGTGTGTCTTCTTGGGCAGTTGGGTCAGTGTGTGTACTTGAGAATGTAAGAAAGGTTTGTTTTGGACTTTGATGGGGTATGAGATACGTGGGGTGGTGTGTGTATGTGAAAAGTGTGTTTATATGACTTCTTAGTTTGCAATTTGATATGTATTTAACTGGTGAGAATCGAATATATATTCACATGTGGGGGTTGGTGGTGTCTGTGTGGAGATGGCAGATTAAAGATGGTCATAACTGGGCTGGGTGCAGTGGCTCACACCTGTCATCCCAGCACTTTGGGAGGCTGAGGTGGGTGGATCACAACGTCAAGAGATCGAGACCATCCTGGTCAACATGATGAAACCTGGTTTCTACTATGAATACAAAAAATCAGCTGGGCATGGTGGTTCGTGCCTGTAATCTCAGCTACTCAGGAGGCTGAGGCAGGAGAATTGCCTGAACCCAGGAGACGGAGGTTGCGGTGAGCCAAGATCGCGCCATTGCACTCCAGCCTGGGTAACAAGAGCAAAACTCCATTTTAAAAACTCAAAAATGAATGAATGAATAAATAAATAAATAGATTCTCAAAAGAAACGTGAATGATACTTCGATGTCTTAACCAGCCGAGTGCACCAGCAAAACCTGTTCATGCTCTGCTGGGGTCAATTCTCATCATAGTCAGGTTTTGTTTGTTTGTTTGTTTGTTTCTGAAACAGAGTCATGCTCTGTTGCTCTGGCTGGAGTGTAGTGGGATGATCTCAGCTTACTGTGACCTCCATCTCCCAGGTTGGAGTGATTCTTCTGCCCCAGCCTCCTGAGTATCTGGGATTACAGGTGTGCACCACCGCACCTACCTAATTTCCTGTATTTTTAGTAGAAACAGGATTTTGCCATGTTGGTCAGGCTGATCTCGAACTCCTGTCCTCAAGTGATCTGCCCACCTCACCCTCCCAAAATGCTGGGATTATAGGTGTGAGCCACTGCTCCCAGCCATCACAGGCAGGTTTAATGCTGGCCCTGAAGGTCCTGAGATAACACTGATTTCACTCCCACTCATGTTTTCCCAGTAGGGTCTGGAGAAGGGCCCTGTTGGTGGCAGGCACAGCCAAGAACCTAGCTTTCCTATTCCTAAACTGTGAGAGATTTTGAATCGTCCCTCCTTCTCTCAGTTGGTGCAGCAATTCGGAGAATAGCTCCCTAGAATATAGAACCCAAACAAGCTGTGGGGCTTGTCCAAATTGCTGTGTGTGCTGGGGTGGGACAAGAACCCTGGGTTGAAAGG